CGCTGGGCACCTCTAATAGCCCTGCTCTCTGGCTGTTCAAATTCAGCCTCCAGGTGTTGAATGTTCCATGCCTGAGTGAATCGTTTACCCTGCCCTTCACAAATGTTATGGTGGGTACAGTACGCGGATATAACCGCGGGGATGCTGTCATCGGCCAGGTCCAGCTTCCATACAGAGAGCGCCAGCGACCCTTTAAATGTCCAAAAGCACACTCCACTGTCATTCTGCACTGGCTCAGCCTGTTGTTGAACCGCTCCTTGCTGCTGTCAAGGCTCCCTGTGTAGGATTTCATGAGCAACGGCATTAAAGGGTAAGTGGGGTCTCCAAGGATCACAATGGGCATTTCGACTTCCCCTACGGTGATCTTCTGGTCTGGGAAAAAAGTCCCAGCTTGCAGCTTCCTGAACAGGCCAGTGTTCCAAAAGATGCGTGCCTCATGCACCTTTCCGGGCCAGCCTGTGTTAATGTCAGTGAAACACCCACTGTGATCCACAAGCGCCTGGAGAACCACAGAGAAATACCCCTTCCGGAGGCTTGGTGGGCTGATGCCAGAACTGGAATATGCGTCCCATCTATCACCCCTCCGCAGCTAGGGAAACCTATTTGTGCAAAGCCAGCCACAACGTCATGCATGTTACCCAGAGTCACGGTTCTTCTGAGCAGGATGCGATTAATGGCCCTGCAAACTTGCATCAACACGATTCCAACAGTCAACTTTCCCACTCCAAACTGGTTAGCGACCGATTGGTAGCTGTCTGGAGTTACCAGCTTTCAGATTGCAACAGACACCCGCTTCTCCACCGGCAGGGCAGCTCTCAATCTCGTGTCCTTGCACCGCAGGATGGGAGGCGAGCTCCTCACACAGTCCCATGAAAGTAGCTTTTCTCATCCAAAAGTTCTGCAGCCACTGCATCCTAGACTTGCAGGACGATGCGATCTCCCCCACTCCGTGCTTGTTTCCCGAGCCCAAAAGCAATATTCCACACCGGTGAGAAGGTCCATGAATGCCACAAGCAATCATCATCGGAGTCCTCATTGTCAGTTTGGATCTTAAGGAGTAACTCGACTGCCAAACGTGACATGCTGGTGAGACTCGTCAGCATATTCCTCAGCAGTTCGGGCTCCATTCCCGCAGACCAAAAGGGAAGACAGAGCACACAGTACAAAAAACACTGAAAGATGGTGCCAAAAGTGGACAGAGGCACAGGGATTGCTGGGATGCGAACCGATGCATCACGGGGCATTGGGACAGGACCCAGAATGCCCCACACCCTCCGCTCCCTTCCCACAAGCCACAGCGCCAGAATGGGAAAAGGTGCTCTGTGGGATAGCTGCCCAGAATGCACCGCTCCCAATGCCACTGCAAGTGCTGCAAATGTGGCTATGCCAGTGTGCTTGCAGCTGTCAGTGTGGACAGACTGCAGCGCTTTCCCTACTGCGCTCTACGAAGGCTGGTTTAACGCAAAGCACTCTACATTTGCAAGTGTAGCCATGCCCTTAGGCTGAACAAGGGGCAAGGTGCTAATAAACCCCTTGCTCACCATTCTGTAGAAGAGTTGAGCATTCTTTGAGATTGTGTCAGATTATCACTAGCTTGATCCCACTGTAACAACCATTTTAAGATTTAATTAGGCACACAGAAAACAGTTAAAGCGTTTGAAATTTAAAAGGTTAGAAGACTCATTTTAACAATTTCCCATTCTCTTTTGTTGTATTACAATCTTTTACAGTGAAAAAATTTTTGACTAACTTTTCAGATGTTATTCGAGATTATATTAATTGGTCCCTCTTGGAAAGGAAATGTTTGTTTAGGCCTGCTCTAAACCTACAATTTAGATGGACCTGGCCATGTTGCTCAGGAATGTGAAAAATTCAGACCTCCAAACACTGTAGTCAAGCTGACTTAAATGTGTCTACACCAGGAGTTAGGTTGATAGAAAAATTCTTCTGTCAACCCAGCTACTGTCATCTGTAAGGTTGGATTACCTATATCAACTGAAAATCCCCTTACTTTGATGCAGTAAATATCTACATTACAGCAGCATAACTGCAGCATCCATAGTGTAGACACACCCTTAGATGGTCACGTTTGCGGCTCTTATATTGAGGTCTGATTCCATTTCCTTCCAGAAAACAAATACATACAAAAAGGAGAAGATAGGAAGTGTAGTTCCTTGGTGTATTTCTTATTTTTAAACCATCTGCTAGGAAATTACAGGCACAGCACATAGTCTCATCAGCCATTCCAAGACATGACAAATATACCACTGTCGGGCTGCTTAAGGCAACTTTTATCTTGACTTTCTGGTTACAGGTGTTGCTTATGATGATAAAATTTGCATCAAGCTCCTCTGTCTGCAAATTTCACTCTTTGGTCCATTAACTCAGCTTCAGCAGGCTACAAAGTAACTCCCAGAAAAGCCACACTGAGAAAGAAGTGGGATGCTATTCCCATTAATATTACCCAATCGAAACAGGATTCCAACTATTCAATTTTTTTAATTCCTCAGCTCATCATTGTGCCAGTGTCACCTTAACAGGAACAGTGAAGATCTTAACTGACAGATTTTAGTTTCAGCATATGCCATTTGTACCAATCTAGCTTTTGATTATTTTGGAAATGTTTATGAAACATTACTGTCTACCCCAAACATTCAAAAATAAAATCCAAAGGTTAAAATAAAATGAGGTGGTTTTTACTTGCACCTTTGGTTTTTGAGCCTTTAGGGTCACATTTTCAGGCTTCTCTCTGCAACAAGGAGGCTAGAATCTTTTGTTTTTGTTTTAAATAGATGTTGAGATTCTCATAGAACCACAATTCCATAAGCCAGTGCTTTAAGAAAAAATCAAATACTACCGACCTCACAACCACCATTGAAAGAGTTGGCAACACATGTAACACACTGAGCTCGGCTTTTTAATAAATAAATAAGCCTCTGTCCCACTTTGCACAACACTGAGTATTCCTCCCCACACTTCAGTCTAAGTTTTGAGCCATACTGATGGATTCTGAAGACAGCAGAGTAAGGGCAGCTTTTTACTCTATTTATAAAAAACTTCTCCAATGTATTTAAGTGCTGTAAAGGAAAGCACCTGTTATTGCAGTTCACTGGTAGCTAATCCTGGGGAAGATCATTTTTAAAAAGTCAAAATCTGAACTTTCCAGGTCTTTGGGTTACAAAGAAAGCTTCCAGTGTCGTCTTAGCCAGATTTGTGCAAAATAAATAAATAGGAATTGCGGGTTTTGTGATAAAAGCATGAAATTTGCGACAGTAAATGTGTTATTGGGGGGAAAAATGTAATCTCCCCCCGTTGAAAGTAGATTTTCCTATGTTTCAGACTACTGTGGAAAGTTCCCCAACTTTAATAATGAAAGTGAAAATACAGCTTTTTTTTTTTTTAATTGTAGCAGAAGATCCAACTGAAAGTCACATCTTTACAAAGACGAAGGGAGGGGCTATTACTAAGCAATTTAAATATGCCAAAAATAAGCTCTCTTGACAAGTTCTTCCAGTTACAAGAAATGTTTAAATAAGAACTTATACCATCATAGCCACAATGCTCTCATCCAGGCCTCTTAAAATAAAGTCATAATACTTAGTGTGATATCAAAGATTTCCAGCAACAGCTACTTGGTCATAAGTATAAGACTATGACTGTATTATAGGATTTACCACCAAAAAATAAATATTCAAAAATAGATATGCAACAAAATGAACACTAACAGCTACTTGCAAAGTACATTACATTTTGCAAATATATTTTCTTAAGGTCATTCAAGTGTGAAAGTTCCTCTAAAATTATATCACTAGCTTCCCAACACAGTGAACATATTTCTATTTCCCTCAATATCAACGTTTGCATTACAATGGTCTCTGAAGACCCACACCGAATCAGGATCAGGTCCCCATTGCATTATGCACTGTACAAACATATAGTAATATATGATCCCTGTCCCAAAATTTACAACTGCAATCTTACACTTAGAAGAGAATGAAGAGAGTAAAAGCTCAACTTTGATTCTCTAAACAGAGAGCCTTGATGTTTGAGACTTCTGTGTGTAACAAAAAATGCATCTCTTATGCACTTTTGAAAGTATTACACCAGATACTTAAGTAACTTAAAAGCCTCACTGAGCCACTTAAGTACTTTTGAAAGTGTCACTAGTGATCTATTCTGAGTTCCTACAAATCAATTTCACAGCACTTCAATTTGGGGGGCAGGGAGAAGAGAGAGGTGTTATTTAAGTGCAAAATATTATTACTGAGACACAAATCTATGGATTTTTAAGAATGTTGTGTTAAACAAATTCCTGGCAGGTTACACCACTAAGTGCACTTATTAAGTGTTATTTCAACAGTGGTCATTTATACAAATACCTACACTAGCTTGCCTACACAGTTAGCACAGTGGAGTCATGAGAGGAAGTTTTGGAAGGCCAGCAATACAAATGTGGATAAGGCAATACAGTATTAGGTATAATTTTCTGCTTTATGAGTGGGACAACTTTTGTTCAAGGGCCATCTAACATCACCAGAAAACGTTTGGCACCAAAATACATATGTAAAAAAGCCACGTGCTATAAATCAGAAGGAGAGCGAAAATGCACTCATGGAAACAAGTTGTGTAACCTAGTACGCCCGGCCATAGTTGCACTCACTAGATAAAAATACCCCAACAAAAAACAAGCCAGCAATCCAAAGAACCCGCTCTCGTATCAGGAAGATGACCGGATAACAGTCCAGACCAAGCAGCTGCTAAGGACACTCCACTGCAAAAACCACACTGCTGCTCGCTCGCGGAGTCGAAGAGCGCAACTAACTCCTCCGTGACATTGGCCGCCTCGCCTAGCCAGGCTGCGGGACAGCAACAGCCAGGCGGGGCTACCCCACAGGACCCCGGCAGCCCTAAGAGCATTTCTTAAGACCACCAGCAGCGACCCGCCCCGCACCGGGAGCCAGGCCGACGGCGCGCCAAGTCCCACCGGCGGCCCCGCTGACCTGTCAGCCCGGTGGAAAGGACCGAGGGGTTCCCACCCTGGCAACCCGGGCTCGGACACGCCCGCCGGCCGCGCTCCAGCCCCCCAGCCCGCGGGCAGAGAGCGGGGGGCTGCTGTCTCTCTGTGTCTGTCCGCGCCCCGCCCGCCCGGGCTTCACCTTCACCCCGGGGCGGGGCGGGGCAGCGGCTGCGGTCCGCGAGGCTCGGCCTCCGCCGCCCGGCTCCGGGCACCTCCCGTCGCAGCCGGGCGCGAGGGGCCGGCGGGAAGCCGGAGTCACCCGCGGGCCGCGACAGGCCGGGCGCGGCTCCAGCGCGGCGCCCCCGATGTTTTCATACAAACCCCGGCGGCGGCGGCGGCGGCGGCAGGAACCTGTCGGCGTCCGGAGACGTCACCGCGCACCCGCCTCTCCCTCCCCGCGCGTGCGCGCGCGCGCGCGCGCAGTCCCGATGGAGGCGCGTGCACGCAGCAGAGTGGCGGCCTCCAACTGCAGAGCCGCGTGCCCTGGGACCAGTCCCCACGGGTGGGCCTTGGGGGAGGAGATGCTGGGTGTCAGCCCGGGTTAGTGCCCTGCCTCCGCCAGCGACCAATAGCAGAGCTTCCCAGGAAGGTGTAAGAAACCCCCTAGCGAGCAATGAGAGAACCAGATTTAAGGGGACTCTGGTCTGCCCCTTTGCCTGCATGCATTGTGTTGCAGCCTTTCATGATATCGCGCACAGTTTTTTCCCTTAAGGACTGACCCTTGCCTCAGCCTGTACCCAGGATGGATAGCAAAGAGAAAGGATGAGCCTAGGGTGTACAATTTGTGTGTCACCCCAGGTGACCTAGAGTCTGTGTGTTCCATAGAGTGCCCACATGGCACTGGGCAAGTCGCACCAAAAATTCTGCATGTAGCCACTAGTTACTCATTTGATGGGTGCATAGCTTAAAACATATCGGGCATGATTTTCACAAGTGCTGTAGCTCATGAAAGCTTATGCTCAAATAAATGTGTTAGTCTCTAAGGTGTCACAGGTACTCCTTTTCTTTTTACAAGTGCTCAGCAATCACAACTACAACGGAAGTCAAGGGGAGCTCCAATTGTTAACTACCTGTGGAGCTAAGGAAGGGTGGTGTAAAGAACTGAGCAAGAGTTTGAGGAACAGAGGTCCTAAATTTTCATTCTGGCTGTATTACTGATTCATTTTGTGGCTGGGGACTTATCACTTTGCCTTTCTTTCTCTGTTTTCCCATTTGTAAAAGGGGGATAATAATATATAACTTACAGGAGTGTTAAGAGCAGGGGTGGCCAACCTATGGCTCCAGAGCCACATGCGGCTCTTCAGAAGTTAATATAAGGCTCCTTGTATAGGCATCGACTCTACAGCTGGAACTATAGGCACTAACTTTCCAATGTGCCAGGGGGTGCTCACTGCTCAATCCCTGGCTCTGCCACAGGCCCTGCCCTCAACTCCACCCCTTCCCGCCCAAGCCTGCCATGCTCTCACTCCTCCCCCCTTCCTCCCAGAGCTTCCTGCATGCCAGGAAATAACTGATTGGGAGGTGCGGGGAGGGAGGGGGAGACGCTGATCCGTGAGGCTGCTGGTGGGTGGAAGGCACTGGGAGCTGGGGGGGGGGGGAACTGATGGGAGGTTGCTGATGTATTACTGTGGCTCTTTGGCAATGTACGTTGATAAATTCTAGCTCCTTCTCAGGCTCAGGTTAGCTACCCCTGGTTAAGAGGATTAATGAGTTAATGTCCCTAAAATGCTTTGAACATTAGTCATGACTTTTGAAAATGTTGACCTTAATGTCCTGGTGCTTCAGTTTCCCAGCTGTAAAAACCCTGCCTGCCTCAAAAAAGAACCCTATTTCCTTCTTCAGCAAGCTCTTTAAAGATGGAGCTGGGTGCAAAAGGAAATTGATAAAAATTCTAGGGCCAGATGCTGTGACATGCTCAACCCAGGACTCTCAAACAATTTATGATGTATTCCAAGTAGAGCTAGTTGAAATTTGGAAATTCTGGTTCACAGAAAACTGTCATTCTGAAATTTCATTTCAGTCCAATTCAGGTCAAAACCAATTTCCACGCCTCTAAATTTCCCACAAACTGGCAACTTTGAAAAACTTCATTCCAGAAATATGGTGTTAGATAAAGGATGATCCCAGATGGCTGGTTCATGAAATTGACATAATTCATGGCAGTTTCACTGCTGCCCACCACTGAACAGTATCATGGAACTGACCTGTGAAACTGACATGGAGAGTCTCTGTAGCAGCTACTGCAGATCCTGGTTTCTACCAGCTCCAGGGCAGCCCAGCCACATGAACTGTCCTAGGGCCAGGGAATCCTAGGCCTAGGAACCTCAGGGCTGCCAGGACAGCTGGTTTTCCAGGCTGCCTGACTGATGCATACTGGCTCAGTATCAGGAAGCCTGGAAACCCTATCTGAGATTCAACAAAAATGTGTCAGACCTTAAGTGTTTTCACAAAACACTGGGCTGTTTCTCAGCACCATTTCCTTCTCATGTATGCTTCTAACTCTTGCCCGAAGACATCAGCAGGCTGGCCCCACCATCATTTCCCAGCCTTTTTTTGTGGGATAGGTAGAAATTTGGCTCAGATAATCAAAGATAGAAGTAGCAGGTGATGACAGGAGGACAGCAAAGAATGAGTAAAGCACGCAGCTTAAGTATAGATAAAAATATACTGAAACATTCTGAAAGCTAAAAATAAGTTGACAAAAACAGTTCATTTTAGTTAAGTGACAGACAGTCTTTCAGAAGATAAGACTTCAGGCAGCTATGTGTGAATGATAAATAATACAGAAGTAGAGTCATTTTTTGATTGCATAGAAAAATAAAAGAACCGTCATCTATTGAAGCAAAAATGGTATAGGACATTTTGATCTGGTTCATTTTTACAAACATTTGTTTTGATCTTCAACACTTATAAAATTATGAAGTGTCATTTAGCATAGGGAATTACAGGAAAACAAACAAATGGATGATTGAATAATAAGAATAATGTGGATAAGAATAGCTGAAAGGCTTGGATAAACGATAAAATTCTAAGGACAAAATTATAGGTCAGATTGTGTCCTCTTTTACATCCTTGCAGCCACATTCCTTTCACTAGGGTTATTTGGATGTAAATAAAAGCTGAGTCTGAAACTAAGCCCTCGGACCCACATGCAGAACTCCAGTTCAAGCCTAAAGGAATTGCATACATACGTGTGTGTGGAATTTAGCCCTAAAAAATGGGTGGTTTCAGAGTAATAGCCGCGTTAGTCTGTATTCGCAAAAAGAAAAGGAGTACTTGTGGCACCTTAGAGACTAACCAATTTATTTGAGCATGAGCTTTCGTGAGCTACAGCTCACTTCATCGGATGCATATGAAGTGAGCTGTAGCTCACGAAAGCTCATGCTCAAATAAATTGGTTAGTCTCTAAGGTGCCACAAGTACTCCTTTTCTTTTAGCCCTAAAAAATGTAACCATAAAGTGCAAGCCACCTAAACGTGCATCTATTACCTCCCATGTGAGCTTCACTCATTCATCCCAATACTAATTAGAATATAATGAGTACACATAAATAATGAATCAGATGGATTCCTATTCCTAAAATGCTTCCTATTCTACCTGGCTAGATAGAGAGGGGGCATTTGTAACCATATCACACTGTAAATAGGTTGTTAGATGTTTTGTTGTTCATGTTTTTTACTTGCAAGTTTGTGGCATCTTGAAATGTGAAGTATCTTTAAAAAAAGATCCAAAACTACTGGAGAATTATTTGAGAGTATCGTGAAACAGTAGGTAAATGTGTCCAAAATTAGTTTGCTCATCACAGTATACTTTGTAAAGGTAAAGTATTTATAAAGAGAAATGAGTTAAACAATAACTCTGTATGCCTCGCTTGTTATTTTTTGTTTTAAAAATTAGAGTCCCCTTAGACAGCAGTGGAAGTAGTATGGAAGTGCATGGAAGAAGTGAGACTTTCAAGTGAGAAAGAGAGAGAGGAAAAAATGAAAAATACACAGTGATACAATTTCTTTATTCTAGAGTTGGTTCTATGCCACCTCCAGCCTAGCATACTTTAGAACAGGGGTTCTCAAACTTCACTGCATCGCGACCCCCTTCCGACAATAAAAATTACTATATGACCCCAAAAGTGGGGATAGAAGCCTGAGCCAGCTGGAGCCCCGGAGGCGAGTGTGGGGCACAAAGTTGAAGCCCAAGGGCTTCAGTCCCAGGCAGTGGCCTGTAATCCGAGTCCTGACACCCAAGGCTAAAGCCCTTGGGCTTTGGCCCCGGGCGGTGGTGCTTGGGCTTCAGCTTTGGCCCTGGGCAAGTCTAAGCCAGCCCTGGAAACCCCATGATAATGGGGTTGCGACCCACTTTGGGGTCCCAACCCACAATTTGAGAACCGCTGCTTTGGAACACCCTGAGCAGTGAAAAGCACTGAAGAATATGGTCCCTTTTGATAGCACTAGTAGCATTATTAATATTGATCCTGATGGAACCACACAAGGAAATAAAAATCATGTTATGTTGGGTTAATGACATGAATCCAGGATGTAATACAAAGGTTTACACTAACATTCCAATGGGACTGCATTATCTGGTTCACACTAGAACAATTCCATCAGAATTATGTTGGTTTAGTATGTCACTTAAAAACATTTTGAAATGACTGATAAACCCCACCGCCACACTTAAATTCCCTTACCTCCTGATAAGTTATTTTACTACAACTGATAAAACATTAAATCTGATTTACTTTTCATCATTATGCTATTGACTGCTAACATGTCACTCAGTGGGACAATAAAAACAGATTTAGGGTAACATTTTCAAGAGTGCCCAAGGAGCAACATTTTAAAGGCATTTTGGCACTTGAAGATGTAGCTAAGCACCCAGTGGTATTTTCAAAAATGCTAGGTATCTAAATCTCAATAACTTTCAGTGAGATTGAGGATAAAATTTTCAAAGCACCTAAATAATTTAGGAATTTAAATGTTAAAAAAACAATTTAGGTGTCTAAGGATGCAGGTAGGCACCTAGTGGGATTTTCAAAAAGCAGCTGAGCATTTATCTAGCTACATTGTTAGGGTTACAAAAGCTTCCTGGGAGTTTTTTCCCCGCAAATCTTTTATGTTATAATTTAAAGAATTCAAAAGGACCCTTTCTATTCATTTTAGGATTTAAAGGAATTTTTAGAATTGCAAATTGGCTCTTTGGAGCAATGATATTGTCTTTATGTTTTGGCAACAGCCAACAAGTAATATTATTAGATTTTTTAAAAAAAATTCTTGTGTAACCTAAATTTTGGTTTGAACTATCTAACAGTATCTCTTTTAAGATGATTGGAGCCATTTTATGACAGGCAACTTCTTCTAATTGCTTCATGAATCTTGTTCGTGTCACATGTGGTGATAATGCTTCTTTAAAATTA